CAGTCTCATGGCATTTCGTGTTCACCAACACGATTTTTAATCTATTGATTCGTGTTCACCAACACGATTTCCCCCTTTTTTCGTGTTGCACAGCACGATTTTAAAAGCAATGTATTTCTACGGGTAATGTGTTTTGTGCCTGCAGCACGTCTTTTTCTCCGGTCGGGTCGTGGAATTTCTATCACAGACCTTCTACTTTCCCCCTATGAAAGTATGTACTCTATATTTTTTTTATCAAATATAACACATAAAAACAATAATTCAATAACATGCTTTAACCACTAGGCGGTGCACACAAGGTACACACAGCCATAATAACTTTGTATTATTAGTGTAGGACACTTATGTATGTACAACATCTGAAGATGTGTAGTTTTATTCATGCTTTCACATAATTTTACAGCATATTATATAATATATATATATTATATATATATATATATATTACAGCATATTTACAGCATAACCCGTGTCGTAGTACCGTTTAGCGAGAGCGCGTATGTTTTGGATTAGGCCAACCGGCTAACTCAAACATATCCAGGTTAGGTTGAACCAGCTTCGTAGTGCAGGCCCCAGGTTGAATTGAGGCGAATATTTGTATTGTTCAGAGGTTGTTGTGTTTAATATTCATGAAAATATTTGTCATTGTTCAAATGATAATAAACTAAAATTTGCATAAAGCATATTTGTCCACTCATATGTTGATAAGAGTATTACAAACTTGAAAAATATCCCTCTAAGGTACATTTAGAACAGATACAAAATGTGCGATTAATTTGCGATTAATCGCGATTAACTATTTTAATCGACTGACAGCCCTAGTATTTAGTATCCTATCCATGGGAACTTGTTTTAAGGGGGGAGGTGGACCTAACATCCTCTCATTATGAAGTTAAATGCATCAATCTGGTGCACTTTAAGAGCAACATTATGGACTAGATCTATGGATACATCCTGCTGATGTTCAGGTGTATATCAGTATGTAGTGTCTCTACTTTAAAGAGTCCTCTCCTGCTGATGTTCAGGTGTATATCAGCATGTAGTGTCTCTACTTTAAAGAGTCATCCTGCTGATGTTCAGGTGTATATCAGTATGTAGTGTCTCTACTTTAAAGAGTCCTCTCCAGGGTTCGTACGGGTGCTGGAAATCCTTGAAAATGCTTGAAATTTCATGTGGTGTTTTCAAGGTTTAAAAAGTGCTTGGATTTTGGTTAAAGTGCTTGAAATTGTACTTGCTTTACTTTTATAATAAATTGCTGTCTGAGAAAGAGTAAGAAGTCGGAGCGAGCTTTTCATAAAAAGACAGCTCCACTCCTTTTATACATATTTTGATATTTGAATCTTTCTTTTTTTAGTTGCAGATTTTCCGTATTCAGATTCAAAACTATTATTTTTTCAGTTTCAAATCTTGTTTTTTTCAGGTTTCACTGTTTTTTTAACTTTCAAACTTCTGGCCCTGATGTTGCTTGGGGGGGGGGGCTTACCAAAGAGTAGTTTAGCATCCTGAGTGACTGCCCTCCCTCTGTCATGTTGCCTTCATGGATGTAAGGTATAACTGAAATATGAAATATAACTCAACACTTTCTATACACGACACTCCCGTGATTGGTGGGAAACCAAACTGATACCAGCGTCAAAGTTCCGTTAAGCGAGCTGTTGAGCATCGCAGTTCAGAATCAGATCAGAATCAGAAAACCTGTATTAGTCCCACAGAGGGGACATGTACGTTGTTACAGCAGAAAAGAGCCACTGACAGCTTAATGTTACATAATGTTACATGCAAAAAGTATTTAAAGTAAAACAAAGGTTATATGATAAAAAAAATATAATAAAATAAAAAGTTATACAATTTACAAAATACACATCCTGTAACAGTTCTGAGGATTTAGCAGCCAGGTATATATTGCAGTTTTTAATGGCATATATATATATATTAGTGCTGTCAAAATTATCGCGTTAACGGCGGTAATACATTTTTTTGAATTAATTGCGTTAAAATATTTAACGCATTTAACGCATGTGCAGAATGGCCCGCCCCATACGTGCCACCAGTGGCAGCGCCAGGGTATGGCTGGGGTAGGCTACACCCATACCAAGAAATGGCTTAGCCCCACCATGAAAAATGATGTTAAAGTAAGCAAAATAAAGTCTGCCAACTCGCGCGGAGTAAATCGCACAGACAGCAGTTAGTAAGATTGATTTCAGTAGCCACGGTTTTGAAAACTTTTGTCACGTAGTGATCGTCTTCTCAATAGAACATCTTTGATAACGGCGTGGTGTTGTTGCAGGAAGTCCCGACGGAGAATACTTTTGCTGTAGTACGGGGGTGCACATTAAATCAATTGATTTGCTTTATTTATCGTATTTTCTACTGTTAACCTGTTAAACCCCGAGCCTGTTTTTCAGGTCTCAGGCTCAAAAGGACATTCCCAGAACAAATGACCATATCTTCACTTCTAAAAGGGTTAAATTAATAATAATTTTTCTCAAAGCAAGGTTACACCTGTGAGTTGGATGTAGAAGTGTCAGAATCAATATAGATGTTTTTATTTTAAAGTAAATTCAGATTGAACACAGTAAAAAAATATAAATTATTGTGTCCGTCCAAAGAAAAAAATTACTTATAGTGAAACCCAGCCTTGAATGATGGGATGGTAGACTAAAAGCTTTAGGAATACAAACTACAATAAGTACCCTGTATCAAGATTGATGCAAAACAAGTTAAATTCGACCTTTTTAGAGAGATTTAGCAAAAAAAAACACTTCTGGGGTCATTTGGGTGGATTTGACCTATAGTCTAGCAGGAAGGGCCCTCAGATTTTGAGATACCCCTACCCGAGGTAGAACAAATGACAACAATGATTTTTCTTATCGTTAGGGTCTCCCATTAATTAAATTGATTGTTGTCAAATTTTATTTTGCGGGAAAAAATGTTTTTTTGGTTGTTCTTTAGAACTACCCCAATCCCTGAAAAAGAGCCAAATTAGACCAGGCCGAATGTGGGAAAGGTGACAGAAAAGCCCATAACTTGAGAATGATCACTCTTTTCCTCTTCAGATTTGCTGAGGTATGAACCAGGTGGCTGTCCTACATCACCAAATAGTCAGACACATATTTAACTAAAGAAATACTGAATTATAGTCCTGTAAACTTAGCTTTAGTTTAGACGGAAATTGTACTTTTGGACTCAATCCCTTTTCTCTCATTTATCAGAAAAACAGTAATCCCTATAAAATATACCATTACTGAATTGTCTTGGGTGCTATTGAACAGTAACCAGTAGTTGTATGGAAATATCTGGTACAGTTCTATTGCGAATGAGATTTCTTTAGACATAGGCCTACCTCTTCTCTGAGACAGTCAAACTCAGAATAGGGGATAAGTGGCATAATAGCCTATAAGTTAAGAATGCTCACTCTGATGGTCATTATATTTGGAGAGGGAAATAACAGGTGTCTGAACTACATCACCAAATAGTCAGAATAAGAGTAACCCAATAAAATAAAGTGTATTAGTTCTAAATTGCAAGCCTCTAAAACATAGGTGTAAATAGTACAGGTTTGATTGAAACTGGAACCTTAATCCAAAGTACAGTATACAAATCATCAAATAATTCTGTGAGAGGTCAAGTATATAGATACTAGAATATAATGTTAAATGTCAGGTTCCTCAGAAACGTTAGGGGACACATTTTGACATTCTGTACAGCAGGTGCAGAGCTCCGTACAGGGAAGGCCAACAGAGAGGCACTGGCACTTTCCACTCTCTCCACACGTTGCGTCTTTGCAATACAAGTGAGTAATGTCTCTCACTTCTGTAGGTGCTGGGGGTTTTGTAAAGAGCACTGGTTGAATGGCCCCATCTCTGACAATCCACCCCTTGCCAACAGGACTCCATAACAAGGGTTTGGGTTCGGGCACCATATCGCTGTCAAACATTGCTCCTTGTACATGTTGTTGAAATGCATCCTCTGTTGGCGGCAGATTTTCCGAGACTGCATCTGTTGTTGATGCAATTATGAACCTCAGTTCATCCAAGTTTGTGCACATCAGTCCAATTTCCTTTTTCTTTTTTCAATATAACAGAAGCGCAAATTCTCTTGCAACTGGCAAAGACTCTTCCAAGCTGGCAGAGAGTCCACAATGGGCCAGATCTTTGAGCTCGCTGAGATGGGTCTTGAGTTTGGTGAATGCTGTTGTCTTTCCTGTTCTGTACAAACTACTTGTTGTGCCACAGCCAGTGAGCGCATGACATGCTGGTAGACAGTTAGACATGTAGTTGCCGCCCAGCTTCAGGGCCATCTCCAACTAAACGGCCTCTTTGAGAAATTCCAGTCCGGTTTCCGTTCCGCCCACAGCACTGAAACAGCTCTGGTCAGGGTCACAAACGACCTGCTGATGGTGGCTGAACCTGGTTCCCCATCTCTCCTCCTCCTCCTGGATCTGACTGCAGCATTCGACACTGTCGGCCATAACATCCTCCTTCAACGCCTCCAATACACAGTGGCGGCGCCAGAGTATTTTTGTTGGGTAATCTTATCTATGGTAGGGCTAACCCATACAGTGGTGGGGCTCAAGTCAGTATTTGCAATGTAATTACATACACGCTATATCGCCCCCCTTGAGAGTGAAACGCCACGCGTGAGGTTTAGATATTTCCCTGTCTCAATCAGAATGGAACTGTATGAAATAAAACGGCACATTTGACTTGTAGTAAATAAAAAGGGATCACTGTGAACGTGACGTATGATAGTACACGTTGAAGATCCAAAGGGGATACTGAATGGCGGTTAACATCTCTATTTCAGCCCTGATTTTGGCACATCTTATAAATTAGTTAAATGTAGCCTTGTGTTTTTATTTAAGTCGCTGTTCATTGTTTGTTATATAAAGCAGATGTAATGATATCCTATGGAGGCTGATGTGTGGATGTTGTGTCCTTTTGATAACTTTGTTGAGCTTGTTTTTAGCTGCATGTCTTTTTCTATCTCACTGAACAAAGTCCCTGCATGTGAACTGCTTCAGCTGATAAGGCTGGTTATGAGTCAGAGGAGGAGCTGCAGACAGGGCGGGAAGTTGAAAGTGAAAGTATGAAGTCAGACTTGTCAGACTGCCAGACGCCATTTTACAGCTCGACACGAGGAGAACAACAGGGTGAGTGTTAACACCACGATCTGCTTTTTAACACATTTATTATTTACTCTGTCAAACTGGATGTCAGAAAATAACTTATTGGTTAACAATCATCGTCCTAGAGTCCAATGAGACTTCTGCAAGTGTTGTACACTTTTATTATTTCTTGTTTTCTGATTCATCAGAGTATAACATGTGAGAGCCCAGCGCAGACAAAATGGAGAACGGCCTGTCTGAAGTCTGACTGATTTCATGTATTTGTGTGTGTGTGTGTGTGTGTGTGTGTGTGTGTGTGTGTGTGTGTGTGTGTGTGTGTGTGTGTGTGTGTGTGTGTGTGTGTGTGCGTGTGTGTGTGTGTGTGTGTGTGTGTTTGGTTACTGGTGTATCTCTCAGACTGGAGAAGATGAGTGATTTAAAAGATGAGGAAGAGGACAAATCTTCAGTCTCCAGCTGTCTGTCTCTGAAGAGTGACCGGTCTAAAGACTGGCTTCCTCCAGACTTCAGTAATGAACCTGGACCCTCAGACACAAAGTAAGAGTTTCTCCTGTAATCTGACCTGAAGAGGATTCAGTTTTGATGTAATCTAATATATTAAACTGTTCTTTAATGATATCATGTGAGCAGTTTGTAATGGACAAACGCAGCAGAGTAAGCTAACATTATCTAAGGATATTTCAATATGCAATTATATTATCATTGTCTCTGTGTATAACATGGTTTTAAATAGCAACAATGTTGATAAATACTGATTTAAAAACGATATATATTGTCCAAAACATTATTTAACTACTTGGGCATATCTATGATATGTCTTTTTAAGGTGTTTATTAATAATAGTGATAACCTGGTGAGCTGGTTGTGTTTAGCATTAGCAGGTGAAACAGAGTTTAGTGAAATCACATGTAGAGTCAATGCAAAGACCCAGATCCGTGCCTGGCAACACGAAGGAAGTGAAGATGTTAAATTCATGTCACCTGCGTATTCGTGCAGCGTGACACATTTCAACTTGAGTGTAAAGTTTGTGACGCTCTGTTACAAAAGCTGTCAGTGTTGAGATTGTGCTCCTGTGGTCTCTGACGGTCTGAGGGGAATCAGAGAGGAGAGCAGAGCTCTACAGCAGCTCATATTCAATCAGGGTTATTCATGTTCCTGTATAAACCTGAGACTGTCTGTGGTGCTAACAATATACTCACTGCTGTACTTATGACTTCATGAAGTTACTCTGAGTGCTGATGGAGCAGCTAATGTTAGCCTAGCTTTAATCAAACCGGTCTCTTCAGAAAAAAACTAAAAAAATGTTATGCTCGTTGTGTTGGAGACAGACCTGACAAAGCATTAACTCAGGCTTTTTACAAATCAGTATCATTCTGTTGTTCTTTAGGCATCCTTTCCATATGTTTATTCAACCCAGTCTCACGGCATTTCGTGTTATAGTCACGACATTTAATCTATTGATTCGTGTTCACCAACACGATTTCCCCCTTTTTTTCGTGTCACACAGAACGATTTTAAAAGCAATGTATTTCTATTGGTAGCCTGCAGCACGTCTTTTTGTCCATTCGGGTCTTGGAAGACCGGAAGCTGTTGGGTTCATAAAAACATCTTCTTACTCAATATCAAGCCACGATTATTATTTTTATTTTAAATCGTATAATGTCGGACTTCTTTTGTCGTCTGAGAGGAAAAGAAATGGCTCAGAGCCTCAGAATACTGAAATCTGTATTTGTTTCCTTCTAATTTGTTATTCTTTTCTAAATAACACACTGTTATTTACTCACCAATAACACACAATTATCCTTGTTTTTATTTATTTGTTTAATTCCATAATCTCGTGCTTTTTTGGCGTCCGTCAGGAACTGAATTTCAAAATAAAAATAACCGGAAACAGACATAGGCCTATAAGGGACATTTCGAGCATCATCGTGATACACAGCCACTGAACTGATTACCCAAGATCCTCAGCTGTTGTTTAAGCTTGCTGATTGGATGTTTTAGCCGCAATGCATGTAGGGATATGGTGTTAATGCGATATGAAATCCGAAAAACATTTCTGAGTTTAGGATGGCCGAAGACACTACACTACCCATAATCCCCAGCTATCGTTTAGGACTACTGTCCCCGTGATTAATCTTCAAGCTCTGGGATTGGATGTTGGAGTGGCAGTGCGCCAAGGTTACGCCGAGCGTCAAACAGCTGTTTGAAATGGAACGAAACCACGCCAGACTATCCAAAACTGGAATCGACATTGGTGTTATCAAATGTAAAACATATAATTAATAAATGGGTGAAAATCGCTTGTGTCCATAATGCGCAGCATTAATACCCACATGACAGCTCATTGTTACTTTGTAATTCTACTCCACTACAATTCAGAGGTTGACCTGGTATTTTTACTCCACTACATTTATTTTAGTTACTTTGCAGATTCTGATTAATGATGTGAAATATAAACAACCCTTAAATCAGACTTTAGTTACACCTGAGTAAAATTCAGGGAAGGTGATTGTCAAGTGCCAACAATCAGGAGAGATATTTGATAGTTGGTGCTTGAGAAGACTAAACATTTATCTGCAATTGACATGAATGGAAACGAGTAATAAAGTATATTCATTACTCGTTATTCTCTACTAATAGTTAATTAAAGACTGTATATTATGGCTATTTTGCACATCCCTTTCAAGACTTCAAGACTTTCAAGGTTTATTGACATATCATACACACAACTACGGTGTAGTTATGCAATGAATGAAAAACTTGGGTCGCAGCTGAGGTTCCTCAACAGTCAGACACAAGACATCTTTCAATATGTGTGTACCTCCACCATTAAACTGTCATATTCTGCACATTTATTATGCTATCTACATACATAAGAGTATAATTCATATGTATAATATCAGTTCAAATAAGTGCTTCAACAAAGTTAACATTGCAGGAAAGCAATATATTAGACGTTAAGTACTTTGTCAGGCTTAATATTTATCTGTAGATAGATACCCCCAAAGCTTTTTTCTTATTTAAAAGAAGACCTTAATCTAAAGTATTATTTAAATAAAGGTTCATTCGTTTTTCTGTTTTGCACCTCCTCCTATTAATATCTTTGTGCATCCTGCACTTAACTGTTTTATTGTAGAGATCACTTATAGTATCTTCTTGATTTTTTATATTCTATATTTCTATCATTGACCTTCTACTTTCCTCCGATGAAAGTATGTACTCTAAATATTTCTTTCATCAAATATAACACATAAAAACAATAATTCAATAACGTGCTTTAACCACTAGGCCAGGGGTCGGCAACCCGCAGCCCTCGAGCCGCATGCTCTGGCTCCCTTGAGCTTAGACAAAAATAAGGAGATAAAATAAAAGTATTTGTAGGACTATTTATATTTTCTTGCACGGTTGAAAATGTTTCGTATCTTGTATTTTGAGGTGATACTGTGACACATAAATAAAAAACAAAACGGTTTTAATTAGGTCAACTAAAATATGCGTCACATCCTGCTACGGTCCCGCGCTAGCGCCTTTTCTTGCAGGCGAATAAACTGACCCCCGGTGTCAGTACCATGGCTGCAGTCGAATAGTCCAAAAATCAGCTCCTAAGTTCTAACCCTATCGTCTATTCCTTGACCTTGATTTATTATAAACGTTAGTCCTTAACATCTATCACTGTGTACATCACCATTCAAACATCTTTTAAAAGTTGAACAAACCCCACACAGCTCAGTAAAGACTGTGAGATGTTGACTTTATTTGATCATTTCAGTAAAAACTAACGTTCATATTTCTCTTTTTGATTATAATACTGATGAACGTTCAGAACAAAGCACTTTGGCAACTTACCACATACGTTTTAAAATGCTTAATAAGCACCGTAACTTTCATGATATCATTTCTCGGTCATAATTGGTTGTTTCCGTGAACGGCCGACTGTTGTGATGGCAAATGCTGCGGCTGCAATGCATTGTGGGGCAGCATTTTCTCCTCTCCTTTCGGTTAGGGAGGTCCAGTGGTTCCTAAGCTAAAGGAGGTTATAAAGGAAGTTTGAAACCTCCTTTCCTTTCATTTGGAGAATTGGAACGGCACTTATCATGGCTGCCACTGAGGGACTTCCGGGTCATTTCACTCCGTTAGGAAGGTTCCTAAGCTAAATGGACTATTGGAATGCAACCCTGATCTCCTATTCCTTGACCTCTGAGTGAAACGTCACGGGGTTAAGGGATAGTGGATAGGAGAATTCAAAAGGACTTAGGAGAAGAGACCGCGGTACTTTAGAGAATCCGACTGCATTTTCACTATCCGACGTGTTTATGATGCGCCAGCGGACGTTCTGAATGTGCGTCTGCTGCTGTGGGGTAACCATGGAAACTACAGTTTTCTATACAGCGGACTACAACATGGATGTTTAATAAGAACGAGGGACTCCTGTAAACTCATCTAGAGACTCTGTGCTCTGATGCTGTTGCTTTATGAACGTGGACAACAGAGAAACATATTCTTCATGACCAAAGTTGGAATTGAAATAAAAAATGAAAGTGAAACGTATGCTCGTCACCCTCTCCCTCCGGTCCACATTAATACAAATGATCCCAATACGTATGATTGATGAAAAGATCTTAAAATCAATACAGATGTATTTATTATAAACGTTAGTCCTTAACATCTATCACTGTGTACATCACCATTCAAACATCTTTTAAAAGTTGAACAAACCCCACACAGCTCAGTAAAGACTGTGAGATGTTGACTTTATTTGATCATTTCAGTAAAAACTAACGTTCATATTTCTCTTTTTGATTATAATACTGATGAACGTTCAGAACAAAGCACTTTGGCAACTTACCACATACGTTTTAAAAAGCTTAATAAGCACCGTAACTTTCATGATATCATTTCTCGGTCATAATCGGTTATTTCCGTCAACGACTGTTGAGTGACGGCAAATGCTGCGGCTGCAAGGCATTGTGGGGCAGCATTTTCTTAAATTGGGTTTATAGTGAACCAGGTTAATACAGCTGTGTGTGTAGATACAGGGAACATGTGCTCCTCTGGGTGATGAATCCAGACAGGAGGCTCTCTGGTTTTATGATCATGTGAACTGTAAGCTATCTTCCTGATCACAAGGGTATATATTATATAGACCTTTTTTTAAAGATCAAACTAGAAAGTGCCCACTTGTTGTACCTTTGGTGAGAATCAGCCCTTCTGAAGCAAAGTGCTATAAAGGATGTGTTCCTCTCCACAGAGGGAAGAGGAAGAGTGGTGTTCCTGTGGAGGAGCAGCTGTCCAGCTGTGCTCTGTGTCAGGACGTCCTGAAGGATCCAGTCTCTACCAGCTGTGGACACTGGTTCTGCAGACAGTGCATCACCTCATACTGGGAGCAGAGACCTCCATCAGGAGACCCCTCCTGTCCCCAGTGTGGAGAAAGACCCATAACCAGAGCTGGCCTGCAGACAGCCAGTCAGACCAGCTCTGTACGAGGTAAGAGGCCGAACTCATGCAGCGTCTTATTCCTCTTCCTGGTTCATTTGTTTTTTTATTAGGTATTCTGTTGAAGAACAAAGACATTAAAATGTTTATAAAACATTTAAACTCAGTCTGTTTTTATTAGTTTTATTGTTATATTCTCAAGAGCATTTTCCTGATTCTCTCCTGTTTCCTTCTCTTCCAGCAGAATGTGGTCTGCAGCAGGTTTTAGATGAACATAGGCTCAGTCTGAGGAGGAGATGTGAACGTGTGACTGAAGGAACTGATCAAAGTGAAACCCTCCTCAACAGCATCTTCACTGAGCTCTACATCACACAAGGCCAGAGTGAAGAGGTTAATACCCAACATGAGGTGAGGCAGCTGGAGACAGCTTCCAAGAAAGAGACCCTCCATGACACTCCAATCAAGTGCCAGGACATCTTTAGAGCCTTACCTGACCAACACACTCTCATCAGAGCGGTCCTGACCAACGGAGTCGCTGGAGTTGGAAAAACCTTCTCAGTGCAGAAGTTCACTCTGGACTGGGCCGAGGGTTTGGGGAAACCAAGATGTCAGTCTGGTGATCCCGCTCTCCTTCAGGGAGCTGAACCTGATCAAAGCTGAGCAGTACAGTCTTCTCAGGCTGCTCCATGTTTTCCATCCAACCTTACAGAAGGTCACAGCAGAGCAGCTGGCTGTCTGCAAAGTGCTGCTCATCTTTGACGGCCTGGATGAAAGCAGACTTTCTCTGGACTTCAGTAACAATGAGGTTGTGTCTGATGTCTCACAGCAGTCCTCAGTCAATGTGCTGCTGACAAACCTCATCAGGGGGAAGCTGCTTCCCTCGGCTCTCGTCTGGATAACTTCCAGACCTGCAGCGGCCAATCAGATCCCTCCTGAGTGCGTGGACAGGGTGACAGAAGTACGAGGCTTCACTGACGCCCAGAAGGAGGAGTACTTCAGGAGGAGATCGAGTGATGAAGACCTGTCCAGCAGAATCATCTCTCACATCAAGAGCTCCAGGAGCCTCCACATCATGTGCATGATCCCAGTCTTCTGCTGGATCACTGCTGCAGTTCTGGAACACATGTTGACTACAGACCAGAGAGGAGAGCTGCCCCAGACCCTCACTGACATGTACTCACACTTCCTGCTGGTCCAGACCAAGAGGAAGAAGCAGAAGTATGAAGCGGGACATGAGACGAGTCCACAGCAGCTGACGGAGGCTGACAGGGAGCTTCTTCTGAAGCTGGGGAGGCTGGCGTTTGAACAGCTAGAGAAAGGACACATCATGTTCTACCAAGAAGACCTGCAGCGCTGTGGTCTTGATGTCACAGAGGCCTTGGTGCACTCAGGAGTTTGTACAGAGATCTTCAAAAGAGACAGTGTGATCTTTGAGAAAACAGTCTACTGCTTTGTTCATCTGAGCATTCAGGAGTTTCTGGCTGCAGTCTACATGTTCCACTGTTACACCAACAGAGACACAGCGGTACTGAAGCACTTCCTGCAGGGAGACTATATCAACAACAGTGATCATGATTACCCATCCCTGGATGTCTTCCTAAAGGGAGCCATGGCGAAATCCCTCAGAAGTGAAAATGGCCACCTGGACCTGTTTGTCCGCTTTCTCCACGGCCTCTCTCTGGAGTCCAACCAGAGACTGTTAGGAGGCCTGCTGGGTCGCACAGACAACATACTAACATTCATTCAGAGACTGTTAGGAGGCCAGCTGGGTCGCACAGACAACAGACCAGAAACCATCCAGAGAGCCATCAACAACCTGAAGGAGATGAACAGTGGTGACATCTCTCCTGACAGGAGCATCAACATCTTCCACTGTCTGACAGAGATGAAGGACCTCTCAGTACATCAGGAGATCACAGAGTTCCTGAAGTCAGAGAACAGATCAGAGAAGGAACTCTCTGTGATCCACTGCTCTGCTCTGGCCTACATGCTGCAGATGTCAGAGGAGGTTCTGGATGAGTTGGACCTGAGTCAGTACAAAACATCACCTGAGGGGAAACAGAGACTGATTCCAGCTGTGAGGAACTGCAGGAAGGCACAGTAAGTCCAGATGTGATTCACTTTATAAACTAATGTGGATCAGGAGTTTAATTATTCAAATAAACACTATAACATTTCTGCTGTTTAAATACTGAGAGCAAAATAAACCAACACTGTTCTTCTATTTATTTATAATAATAGTTAAACTGAAGCGTTTCTCTCTTCATGTTGAGTGATGGAGGCGACATGTCAAACACATGAAGGACTTCAGAGGTTTCTCAGCATGTGATCAAACCACACAGCAGGACTTACAGTTATCAGTTATTATTACTTTCTAGTTTCTTTATCATTAAACACACACGTTTTTATCACAATGTTTTAGAGTTTAAAATCAGATCTATATCATATCCCACCAATACCAGAGTTATGTCTTAATACTCATACAGTGAGAACATCTGATGGTATTCAGTTTAGAATATTGAAACTTTATTGGTTTGTTAACTGTGTTTGTGCGCAATACATTTCCAGATGCTCAGAGAAGACAAAACATCCATCATTCACATCTAAATATTAATCAACATTTAAATATGTACATCTCTAATATTGTCAAGTGATTTATTTAATTTCTGTTTCTTTGGTAACAGTCAGTGACAGCAGGAGCACAGACCTGTGATCAGATCACACTGACAACTCATTACACTCTATCATATATGATTATATATAAAATGGACTAACAGCAAATCTCAATCAGAACATGTCAAATATGTTTTTCATCAAATGCTTGAGGTCATTATGTTTCCTCTTTTTTAACACATGTTGTAATATATGTGTTATTATAGACTTGCTCGCTGTGGACTCTCAGAGACTCACTGGGAAGTCGTGGCCTCAGCTCTGAAGTCTGACCCCTCCCATCTGAGACATCTGGACCTGAGTAAGAACCCTCTGGAGGATTCAGGAGTGGAGCTGCTGAGTTCTGGACTGAAGAGTCCAAACTGCAGACTGGAGGCTCTCAGGTCAGTTCACTGACTGAACTTCATCTGTTTGTGTTTATCATTTTCTGAATTTGAAAAAAATACTGTGAAGCTGACAATTGAGCGGCCCGACCAAGGAAGGAGACAGAGGCAGAACGTCCAAAATACAAGCCGGTGTGGGCATTTATTACCTCATAAACATGTGACACAAAGATTCACAGCCTCAATCCTGCCGAACATGTGCACACCGTCACCAACCACAGGGATCTCACACACACTCCCAGCCTCAAAACAGACAGGGCAACAGACCCTAAATACACACTAATCAGCAATTAGACACAGGTGGGGGGGGGGGAGGCAACACAGGGCACCAGGTGCACACAATCAACAGCCACAGACAAGGAAGGGGAACACTTTTAACATGAAACCAGCAAACAGAGACAGACAAACTAAAACACATACAGACGCACACACTACCTACATTTCACCACCAACAAAGCTACACAATCCGTGACGGAGGCCGAGATCTATGGCCCCAGAGATCACCTCCGTTACAAATACATTACAATGATTTTTCCATGTTTGCTAAAGACTGAATATTGATCAGAATAACAAAGAGTAGGTGAATGTGTGAGGGAGAGTGTTTGAGCTTCCACTGACTCACTCTGTGCTCCATGAGTCAGTGGAGATGCTGTCAGTACTGATGAGCTGTGAGGGAGATGAAGGAGTTGATAAACATCTGATCAAAGTTAAAGTTCCAGATCATCAGTGGATTGTTTCTACATCATCTCTGACGTTAAAGGTCTCCTATCATGCAAAAGTCACTTTGTGATGTCTTCTCTCCATCACCATGTGTCCCCGGTGTCAGGAGACTCTCAAAGTGTCAGGAAACAAACCCCTCTCTCTTTTCCTCCGTTCCCACATCTCTAAAAACGGGGGAACAACGGAGCTGATCCAGATTTGCTGCGTCATGACGCCATTACTAAAATGTGGGCGGGCTTTACACCAACGGGCCAATCAGAAACGTTGCTGTCAGAAACAATGAGACGTGTTCTGGAAGTAATATGGTCTGTGTTTACATTAGCATGCTAACACTCAGAGCTAACCTGTGCTGGAGAGAGTCTGTGTGAAGAAGCAAGAAATAAAAAGGAACTCACCTCGTGGTATACCTGAGAGAGAGAAAGAGTTTGAGCTCCATCCTGTTTCAGAGAGAATCCTTGATGTGGTTTGGAACATGATATGGAGTTTCATCACGGCAGCATTTAGCTGAGTTTCTGCTGCTAGAATTCTGATCAGGCATTAGCTCCACCTCCTTTTTTTGTTGTTCAAGCTAAGGACCCGAACCTGCTCTCCTCTAACAGCTGGAACAGAGGGATATGAGGGATTTCTAAAATGCATGATCTGTTTGGTATTTTGAGCAAAACACATCATAGACATGTTTTTATATATTTGTATATATCTGAGACCCATAATATATGCGTAGAGATAGCCTGATAGGAGACCTTTGAAACGCTGTTTAACTCTGAACGGATTATTAAACCTGGAGTTATTTCAAACAGGAACATTGTTTTCTAAAGTTACATCATGTTCTCTTTATTCAGACTGATAGGCTGCAGTTTGTCAGAGATCAGCTGTTCTGCTCTGGCCTCAGCTCTGAAGTCCAACCCCTCTCATCTGAGAGATCTGGACCTGAGTTACAACGCTCTGAAGGATTCAGGAGTGGAGCTGCTGAGAGATCTTCTGGAGAGTCCAGACTGCAGACTGGAGACTCTCAGGTCAGTTCACTGACTCTCTGTTACTGCTGGAGATCTCATGTTTCATTAGTTATTCAACCTGATTCTTCTACGGCATTAACTTACATCCATTCAGTTATAAATGTTATTGTATTCATACTTTCATTTGTAACTAAAGTAAGAACTGCAGAGATACATGCTGACTGATTCTTAAAGGAACTGTGATAGATGTTAGTTGTTAAAAGTAAATCTATGTTTTTAATATTTAGTAAACGATAACGTCTGAATAAAGTTCATCTGAAGTAATATTAGTTTTACAGGATAAAGTGAGTGTTGAGTTGTTGAGTAACATCTGATTATAAACTGATTTGTATCCTCATCATGTTTTCTTTATTCAGTCTGAGGCACTGCAGTTTATCAGAGATCAGCTGTTCTGCTCTGGCCTCAGCTCTGAAGTCCAACCTCCATCTGAGAGAGCTGTACCTGAGTTTCAATGATCTGCAGGATTCAGGAGTGGAGCTGCTGAGTTCTGGACTGAAGAGTCCAAACTGCAGACTGGAGACTCTCAGGTCAGTTCACTGACTGAACTTCATCTGTTTGTGTTTATCATTTTCTGAATTTGAAAAAAATACTGTGAAGCTGACAATTGAGCGGCCCGACCAAGGAAGGAGACAGAGGCAGAACGTCCAAAATACAAGCCGGTGTGGGCATTTATTACCTCATAAACATGTGACACAAAGATTCACAGCCTCAATCCTGCCGAACATGTGCACACCGTCACCAACCACAGGGATCTCACACACACTCCCAGCCTCAAAACAGACAGGGCAACAGACCCTAAATACACACTAATCAGCAATTAGACACAGGTGGGGGGGGGGGGGGGAGGCAACACAGGGCACCAGGTGCACACAATCAACAGCCACAGACAAGGAAGGGGAACACTTTTAACATGAAACCAGCAAACAGAGACAGACAAACTAAAACACATACAGACACACACACTACCTACATTTCACCACCAACAAAGCTACACAATCCGTGACGGAGGCCGAGATCTATGGCCCCAGAGATCACCTCCGTTACAAATACATTACAATGATTTTTCCATTTTTGCTAAAGACTGAATATTGATCAGATAACAAAGAGAAGGTGAATGTGTGAGGGAGAGTGTTTGAGCTTCCACTGACTCACTCTGTGCTCCATGAGTCAGTGGAGATGCTGTTAGTACTGATGAGCTGTGAGGGAGATGAAGGAGTTGATAAACATCTGATCAAAGTTAAAGTTCCAGATCATCAGTGGATTGTTTCTACATCATCTCTGACGTTAAAGGTCTCCTATCATGCAAAAGTCACTTTGTGATGTCTTCTCTACATCACCATGTGTCCCCGGTGTCAGGAGACTCACAAAGTGTCAGGAAACAAACCCCTCTCTCTTTCCTCCGTTCCCACATCTCTAAAAACGGGGGAACAACGGAGCTGATCCAGATTTGCTGCGTCATGAGAAACCAATCAGAAACGTTGCTGTCAGAAACAATGAGACGTGTTCTGGAAGTAATATGGTCTGTGTTTACATTAGCATGCTAACACTCAGAGCTAACCTGTGCTGGAGAGAGTCTGTGTGAAGAAGCAGGAAGTAAAAAGGAACTCACCTCGTGGTAAACCTGAGAGAGAAAGAGTTTGAGCTCCATCCTGTTTCAGAGAGAATCCTTGATGTGGTTTGGAACATGATATGGAGTTTCATCACGGCAGCATTTACCTGAGTTTCTGCTGGTAGAATTCTGATCAGGCATTAGCTCCCCCTCCTTTCTTTTTTGTTCAAGCTAAGGACCCGAACCTGCTCTCCTCTAACAGCTGGAACAGAGGGATATGAGGGATTTCTAAAATGCATGATCTGTTTGGTATTTTGAGCAAAACACATCATAGACATGTTTTTATATATTTGTATATATCTGAGACCCATAATATATGCGTAGAGATAGCCTGATAGGAGACCTTTGAAACGCTGTTTAACTCTGAACAGATTATTAAACCTGGAGTTATTTCAAACAGGAACATTGTTTTCTAAAGTTACATCATGTTTTCTTTATTCAGACTGATAGGCTGCAGTTTGTCAGAGATCAGCTGTTCTGCTCTGATCTCAGCTCTGAAGTCCAACCCCTCTCATCTGAGAGTTCTGAACCTGAGTGACAACGCTCTGAAGGATTCAGGAGTGGAGCTGCTGAGAGATCTTCTGGAGAGTCCAGACTGCAGACTGGAGACTCTCAGGTCAGTTCACTGACTCTCTGTTACTGCTGGAGATCTCATGTTTCATTAGTTATTCAACCTGATTCTTCTACGTAATTAACTTACATCCATTCAGTTGTAAATGTTCTTTTATTCATACTTTCATTTGTAACTAAAGTAAGAACTGCAGAGATACATGCTGACTGATTCTTAAAGGAACTGTGATAGATGTTAGTTGTTAAAAGTAAATCTATGTTTTTAATATTTAGTAAACGATAACGTCTGAATAAAGTTCATCTGAAGTAATATTAGTTTTACAGGATAAAGTTAACTTTCTGAAGAAGACATATGTTTTTGTTCCCATTCATTTCAATGTTGAGTAACATCTGATTGTAAACTGATTTGTATCCTCATCATGTTTTCTTTATTCAGTCTGTGGAGCTGCAGTTTGTCAGAGATCAGCTGTTCTGCTCTGGCCTCAGCTCTGAAGTCCAACATCCATCTGAGAGATCTGGACCTGAGATACAACGATCTGCAGGATTCAGATGTGAAGCTGCTGAGAGATCTTCTGGAGAGTCCAGACTGCAGACTGGAGACCCTCAGGTCAGTGAGGGGTCTCTGCTGGTTCAGCAGTATTGTATGAAACTCAGGGAGGTGTTTCTCTCACTGGGGAAACAGATCAGTGATGTTACCCACTGACTGCAGGCTCTTCCATTCTTCCATCAACTACAGAAGGCCAGCTGAACATGCAAAGCCACACTTTAGTATCAACTCTCTATCAGACATATGGGGTTTTACAGAAGAGCGGGAAAGGTAGTCTGTTCTCATGGGATGTTTTTAGTTTCTAGACCAGGGGTGTCCAAACTGCGGCCCGGGGGCCAAATGCGGCCCTCAGCAAATTTTGAAAATATAATGAAATACGGCCCACACATGAAACTTCTGCTTGTCTTGTACTTCTTAAATATATATGTACACATATATTACACAGTAGTATTCATGTGTTAATGAGCCCACCTTTAAAATACATGCAGTCAATTCAAGCTGAAAACATTTCCTAACAAATCTAACTTGATAAGAAAAAAGCCCAATAACTTATTGTTATAACAAGCGTGAAATAAACTCTTCATACTTCCTGTAATTATAATCAATCTGAAGCTCCTGCTTTAAGGAATGAGCTGCTGACAGAATAAAGTAAACCCTCTGGAGAGCTGAGAGCTCTTTGTTTCTTAAAGCATCTTCAAGTAACAAGCATCCTTTACCTTCATGTGAGTTTCCTGACTTATAACTGAACTCATGAGACAACATTCCTCTAGAGAGCGGCCCAGAGCTTTATATATTTCTCTGTATGTGGCCCTCGGTGAAAAAAGTGTGGACCCCCCTGTTCTAGACCAATGACTGGTTACTTCCTGTCATGCAGCTGAGAGCTGTGGCAGTCGTAGTGTTTGCAGAGGAGATATGATGGGATGTAAAGCATGAAGTCAGGACTCTGAAGCTGACTCAAAGAACAAACACTTATTTTAAACTGGATCTCAAACTGTTGGATTGTGTTCGTCTCTACAGGATCAGAGGATATGAGCCGATCAGAGCCACGATCCAGAAGACCTGTGAGTACTGAAACCATATCCTCCATCCATCCAGATATGAAACTCTTTAATGGAGCGTGACCTCAGAGGAAAACAACACTCTTCTTTCTCTCTTCATCATTTGAGCTGTTTCTCTTTGTTTCATCATCATCATCATCATCATTCTCTCTCCTTCTCCTCTCAGGTGACAGGAAGTGAAGACACACAGAAAGGTGAGAGGTCGTACCGTGTGAAGTTTATTTATTGAGGTTTCAACACGTGCTTCTGGTGTTCCAGACAAATCTGCAAGCTCAGGTTTGATTTGTTCTCAGTTTCTTCATCACGGGGCGAGTTTGAGACGTGAAGAGGAGCGCAGAGGCATTTTGGAAAATAAAGAAGAAGGCTGCAGCTGATGAGAGACTTCCTGTTAGCTCTCCTCAATATGAAATGAACAAAAACAATCCATTGTACTTAAAGCTTTTCTTGAGAAGAAAGATGTGTTGCACATACTCCTGCTGCTACCTACCACCACCTCCCACCCATCCCGGCACCAGAGAGGAGACTCCATTGACCCCAGATACCCCAACTCACTCTTCTTCAGGTTAGCTTGGAGCCCCGCCTTCACCTGCCCCAACATCTCACTTTGAACGATGTAGTCATCCGGATATCTGCATACTGAGAGTGGGACGCAGGACCCGGTCAATGAGCTGCTGGAAGGGGGTCCACTGGACTGGAGGGGCGCTTGGATCTGGTGATGCCTTGCTCTTCCTGAAAGGGGAGGACACCTATCTGCCATAGTTCTTCCACCTGACGACTGAGTTCGGCATCGGGGGTTCCAGTTGGGGTGAAGAGACTCTGGGGGGCATCCGATGGCTCCTGAATAGGGGGGGCCCTTGGAGTGTCCAACCTAATGATAAGAATAATAATAATAATGCATTTAATTTGTAAAGCACCTTTCATTGCTAAAAGTAATCTCAAAGTGCTACAAGGGGCATAATATACTTATTCTTTAAAGAAACACAAGTTTAATAAAAGGCTTTAAAAAAAGAAAGGGTTTTAGGCCCTTCTTAAAGGAGTCAGTGGTCTGTGGAGTCCTCAGTTTGTCTGAGAGGGAATTCCACAGGTGAACAGAAAGCCCCCCCATGGTGCGGAGTTTGGTCCTGGGGGGGAAGCAGATGGTTGGTTGTAGAATGGAGGTTGGAGGTTTGTGAGGAGAGTAGTTCCTTGAGGTATGAAGGAGCGTTCCCGTGGATGCACTGATGGGTGAGGAGTGAGATCTTTATTTGAACCTAGCTGGAGGGCTATTGGTGCCCCCTGTGGACCCAAAGAGACTCTTTTGGTTGGGGTAATGAGGTGAAAGTTATCTGCACCTATTAGTAGGAGAGGCTGCACTTTGGGAAAGAGGGAAGGGGAAGGCCTTGTAGGCGGAGATAGTGTTCCTTGAGTTCATCCACAGGATAACTCTAGTCCACAAGTGAAAGTCTGTCGGAGGTGAATGTGTCTTTGAGGAGGAATGTTTTCTTGGGATTGAAAGAGGGTGATATCTCAAAGGTCACTGAGGCTCCATTTCAGAATAATATATATGATATGTTTTATAATGATTGATCATGAAAGTGTTCTCAAAGCTGGTAAAGGTGCAGCTAGTTTGAATGACTTTGTATACTGCAGGGTAGCCTGTGAATTTACTCCAGGTGGAACTAAAGTCTGATTCAACACTTGATTATATTTCACATCATTCATCCACATCTGTAAAGTAACTAAAGGTATTAAATACATGTAGTGGAGTCAAAGTACACCATGTACCTCTGAACTGTAGTGGAGTAGAAGTACACAGTTGCATAAAAAGAAAACTAAGCTTCATCTCCAAGCCCCATGGCCTTGGAAGAGCTGCTAAGGAAAAGGAAAGACATCTGGAGACTTTGGAGAGACAGCTAACGGACAAACTCAAGGAACTGAAAGACCCTCCCTTAAGCCCCTGTCACACTGTCCCGAAATTGACACCCGATGGACACACGAATATGGAATTGTGAATTTCGCACGAAGATGGCCCTGAACCATACACGAAGGCAACATTTACATTACATTTAAGACATACAACTGCAACAAAAGTAACAAAAACAATTATGTTACAGTACTATGATACTGTACTGATATCTTCAGACTTTGTTCTTTACTTTATCCGTCTTTATATGTAGAAGATATTACGTTTTCTCTGTCATGTTGTTGTTTCCATAGCAACAACAACTTCCTGTCAACTCGCCTTCAAAATAATATATTATATCCTTTTCAGTTTCACAGAACACAAATTGGGTTATTTACATAATATATTTACATGATTTTGTTGTGCAATAAAAAACCCGATGGACACACGATAAAGGAAATGTTCAAATTCGGCTGTGATCGTAGCAACATCGGGCCATTCGTGAGGGCATCTTAAGCCTTCGTATGACCGCCGGTGGAGTTTCTCAGGCTCCGGCAGCAACTTCGTGAGCGGTGGCAAAATCTTTGGCATGCCAAAAAATAGCCGAAGGACCTTGAGAAGGTTCATTTTCGTGTTGAATTCGTGTGTACATTTTGCCCTTCGTAAGGCCATCGTGAGGGCATCTTGTTATCATCGGTGCCATCGGGCATTCGCCCCGATCAGAGTGAGGGCGAATGCCCGATGGCACCGATGATAACACGAAGATGACACGATTCGACAAGATGCCCTCACGAGTGCCTTACGAAGTTGCCGCTCACGAAGTTGCTGCCGGAGCCTGAGAAACTCCACCGGCGGTCATACGATGGCTTAAGATGCCCTCACGAATGGCGCGATGTTGTTACGATCAGAGCCGAATTTGAACATTTCCTTTATCGTGTGTCCATCGGGTGTCAATTTCGGGACAGTGTGACAGGGGCTTTATAGGCCGTATGCTTATTAGCCTGACCTTGAATGACTCAGTGCAGTGTTCTGTGCAGGTTTTCTGTTTGCTTTTTCAACTCAAGGAGCTCAAAGACTGATTGAAAGTTGATTTGATTTGCATAATCTCTGATTCAATCTGAAGGAGAATTCACCTTTGAGTTGATACAGTATATGTGTGCATATAATGCACCCTTTGGCCTAACCTGGGAGAGCCTTATGTTCACTGCCAACCTAAGGACCTCCAACATGTTAATAAAGAATGTATTGAAAAGTTATTTGGCTGATTGTTGTATATTGGCTCAGCCAGGTTATATGGGATGCCCAGTCTACTTACAGATGGGTCACTCATTTTGAAATATTACGCTTCGTTTTCTTTTTCTTTAATTTGTCATCCTCATGTAGAATGCTATCACGAAACACACATCTGGTTGTTCATAGCATAAAGAACATCTGATTTAATGTGAGGTAGGGAAATAATCATTTGAGGATAAGTATGTGTATATAAATATGTAATTTACAACAGCTGTAAGATGCTTGATAAGTTTGAAATGCACCTTGAATATGCTTGAAAAGTGCTTGAATTTGACCTTGGAAAAGGTGTAAGAACCCTGTAAAAAGTATTAAAAGTTGATAAATCAATTTATCGAAAATTATGGCTATTAAAAAGTAATAAACGGTTGTTTCCAATAACTATATAAATGGTCCAAAGAGGTTGTATTCTACAGTCTGCCTGAATGTAATCATTGCGTAGGTGTGTAGTGTGATTCTGTGTAGTTTATTGATGGCATCCCGTTGGATTTGACGTCATCTGAACAGGACATCGCACGCTCACTGCTTGATAGCGCGAAGGTCCGTTTACGCCGGTTGTTATCAACATCGTTATGGGGAAATGCAAGTCTGCGTCCAAATGGTTGGAAGATAAGGAGGAAGGACAATCAATACTGTATATGGGCCATTCTACCGAATTGGACCAAAGTCAGGTTGGAAATGTTTTGAAATGTTGTATGTTTTTTTCCCAAAACTTTGTCCATTGATATTTTGTACCATATCTAAATTACACATATCTAGTAAAAGAACCGTACATTTTTTCATCGTATTTTCAGACTGTATTGGAATATTCTTCCTCTAGCAAAAATGGTCACTACCGAAACATAGTACATACACTGTAGTAAACAAGTATTATATTAGCCTGTTAAGATTGTTTTACCTTCCCTTCTCTAAAAAGTATTTTAACAAATATTTCTTGAGGGTTTTCACAATTAAATTAATAAAAGTGAATTTTTAATCAAATCAAAAAAGTTTATACAAATCATAAAAATGTTAATGCAAACTTTCTTTGTAAAATGCATAACACTGATCATATTGATTCCAGAGTTGATGATTGTTGAAATTGAACATACATTAAACCAGTGGTTCTCAAAGTGGGGGGCGCGCCCCCCCTTGGGTGGCGCAGAGGTATGCCAGGGGGGGGGGGGGGGGGGGGCGCGAGAGACCAGGAGGAAAAATGGCTATAAAAAAAAAAAAAGATTAAAAAAAAAAAAAATCATAAATTGAAAAATTATTGATTCGAAAATAATATGATGCAGTACTATTACGTCTGGGTCTGTGTGTTTCATTAAAGCTTGGCTCTGTGTGTGTGTGCGCGAGCGAGCGAAAGAGAGAGAGAACGCACCAGGTACCGGAGATCGTTGTTGTTAGCTTCTGGTGCTAGCGAGCTACGCTAACGGATATAAGGAGTTTTTTCAACAACAAGGTAGAGGAGAGTCCTCTCCTGTCAGACTGAGAGGCTCAGTGAGCTAAAGGACTCTCTCAGTGTTATCTCAGTGGGTCTCAAACGTTTTGGTCACCATTAATGTAAACAATTATTTCCGAGGCACACGTTTATATGATCATTATAGTTATAAAAAATAAGAGAATAAATGAAAAACAGGTATGAAATACTATATGACAGTGAAACAAGAATAAAGTTTAAAAGGGGAGTGATTTGTAAAATATCCATAAAGAAAAAGTAAATCTGTTTACAGTTCTGTTTCAAATGGGTGTTGAGAGATGTATCCATAGAGCTCTTCATGTTGCTCTCAAAGTGCACCAGATTGATGCTTTTAACTTCAACATTTAAAAATAAATCTTCCCGGGGGAGCTTGCCCCCGGATCCCCCTATGTGAGGTCCACACACCACCTATAAAAATAGCACTTTACCCCTACTTACACCTATATGCCTCGAGCCTTCATTGTAACTGTCACACTGTGTATTTGCGTGGGGAGTGTTGAGGTAGAACATTCCTCTGTAGCGCCCGGGACATTAATGGGAAACCCTAAATATTTGAGCACCCTCTATGAAACGTCAAGCTACCCCACAGCACCCCCAAAATAAATCTCTGGCGCCGCCACTGAGCCTGACTATTTGTGTTGGGGGGGCCCGACTTATTTTCTTGTCCAAAGGGGGGGCCTGACAGAAAAAGTTTGAGAACCATTGCATTAAACCATTAAACCAATCAGTATCATTTCATTTTAGTTGATAAGTCAATATACTTTATTTTTTACAAAACATCCAGTGTTTCGGTAGTGACCACAGTATTTTGTTCTCAAGGTTGTATCATATTCCCTCAACCTTATTGCTTAATCTTAACTCACAACATGCCTCATGTTGAAGTGTGAACGTTTGAAGCTACTGACCCAGAATCAGCACTTTAGTAACAGGCTGAAATAGAGGGGGATGAGGCTAGAATGCATGATCTGTTTGGTATTTTGAGAAAAACACTTCATAGACATGTTTTTTTATATATCTGAGACCTTTAATACATGCCTAAAAATAGTATAATAAGAGACCTTTAAAGTAACACACTGAATTTCAGACTTTAAAACACATTTATTTCAAAATGGTGGGATTTACCTGCTTACCATTCCATTTAGTCACTACCGAAACGATCATGTCAATTACCATTTTGAAACGTGTATTACAATTAAATCACGGTCAAATATGTTCATTGTGTTGTAGTTGTAGCCCCCCCTTGCCAGCGATTCTCTCTGACCAATCAGCAGTCGAGAGTGGTTTAGCATATGCAGCCCGGTTGTTGGCCCGGTAAGAACCTCCATTTTGGAGGGCCAGAAAAAAGGTGAAAAAGTAGCCCTGAGCCGGAACTAGCCCTAGTGGGAAAGCAAAAAGCTTAAACCGTGCTACGTGCTGCAGGAAAGCGCCATAAATGACTTGAATGAATCAGAACGCCAGATTGACCTTGTTTTGATCTGTTTTTCTGCCTACAGAACGAGACGTTCCTGTGTCACCGGTTCACGCGCTTCGTCATGAAGTACAACCTGATGTCCAAGGACAACCTGATCGTGCCCATCCTGGAGGAGGAGGTGCAGAACACCTCGTCAGCGGGGGAGAGCGAGGCCTAAACACACTGCTGCCACAAAGGGAGACACATGTAACACACACATGACATGAGGAGACACATCCACACACCTTGCATACACAGTACACACATATATAATATATATATATACACACTACAGTGTCTACAATAAGGCTCCTGTCTCGTAACACTGTCCATGTCCCTCCACCCTTGTCACCTGTGTCTATCTCAAAGGAAGTGAGGGGTAGCGGGAGCAGAGTTCAGCCATGCCTGCAGGACAAGTTGACGTTTTCTATCCTCCTCCCTCTCGCTCTGTGTGTTCAGATCCACTCTGGGGGTCTGCGTGCAGCCCCTGCTCTCACACTCCTCCTCCTGGGGAAACCCCTTTTACCTTTAATGTTCTTTAAGCAGCTGGATTTGCAAAAATGTAATCATGGTGACCTGTATTGTTGACAAAGGCACACGCTGACAGCCCCTCCCTCTGTATATAACCCCCCCTCTCTCTTAATTCACTACCATCATGTTTTCTGATGGTGCTTCACTTTTTCGTGTCTGCTTCTGTTTCTCTGTTCGCTTATTGTGTTTCCTACCAGCCTGTTTTTCGGGGGGTCGTCCTCTGAAATGGATCAATAAAGTAGCCTGCTGACTGAAAGGGATAGATCAGATTGTGTGTGGGGTTGTCGCATATCCATAGTTCAGGTATGACCGACAGTAACTGCTCTCTAAAAGCCACCAAACTCCATCGTCAGAAACCAGTTATTTTTTACATCGCTGAACACAGAAGTTTCTCGACTTCTGCTGCCTCAACTAGTACGGTTTTTTTGGTGGTATTTTGTGACTTTAGTGTTTAAAGTAGATAGTTTGGATTCACTGACGTCACACGATTTACACAAAATAACTAACTGATAGAGGCAGAAGTAGAACAGCAACGCCTTTTTGTTCTGCGATTTATAAAATCACTGCTTTTATCGATGGCGTCTGGCTTTGGCGAGAGCATCACAAAATGCTTTGGGTCCTCGTTTGACGGCAAGGTTAAGCAGAGGAAATATCGTCATCTACTGTAGGTAATACACTTTTATACAACCCTACTTTAAAACACAAACATCCCTTTTTAATGATGCCAGTGAAACACGAAACGTAGGTGTGTGTGGCTTGTGTGGTAGTGATCAAAGACAAACGTAACCGTGCAGTCAGATATTCTTTCTCATCTCTGAAGTGTTTTTCAGATCATTCAGGAACTCTGATCCTGCTGAGTCGCCCCCATTTTAATACCGTGTGAAATGTGTCGGATATTCCCCTTTCCTCGACAGGGCTGGGTCTGAGGGTCACATGGGACTGAGCTGCTGTAAGCCGGTCTTTCCTAACGCATTAAGACGAGTAACATACAAGGAAGGACGAAATATCAGATACATTTACGTGTCGGAGCACAACCCCCCCCCCCCTTTCTTTTACCCTCCCCCTCATTAAGTTATTTTGTGGGAGGAGTCTTGTCAATCCAAACCCACTTTTTTTTAATGGACTAAAATAATTTTGTTACTGTCGACATTTTCATGATGTCTGTTAATAAAAAAGAGCTATTAGTCAGGTGTTTGTGTGGCTGTGTTATCATTCATGGGGCTTTCCAGTGATGGGTCTGAACCAAATGTGTGATTTCCAATAACTGCGGCGTTAAGACCAAAAGTAAAACAAATAATACTGGAAAAATAGGAATAAGCATTTCCAAAAATGACATGTTTTTGATTTGTATTCTGCTTCAATCCATATTTGTTAGGCTATTTTAATTTGTGGTTAAGACGTGTCTCTGGCCGCTGAAAGGGATCCACTGAAGATTTAAATTGAAGTTGTTTTAACAGGGTGTCCGCGGGGTCTTAAAAACAGGGTTCGTACGGGTACATTTCATGTGGTGTTTTCAAGGTTTGAAAAGTGCTTGGATTTTGGAGAAAGTGCTTGAAAATCTACTTGCTTTGCTTTTATAATAAATTGATGTCTGACTGAATAGTTCACTTTTTTTGATTAAAAAAAAGAGAAAGAAGTCGGAGCGAGCTTAATTACTTTTCATAAAAAGACAGCTCCACTCCTTTTATACATATGTTGATATTTGAAAACTATTTTTCAGTTTTAGATTTTCCGTTTTCAGATTCCAAACAATTATCTTTTTAGTTTCAAATCTTGTTTTTTCAGGTTTCACCGTTTTTTTTCGCTTTCAGACTTTTGGCCCTGATGTTGCCTGGGGGGGGGGGGCGGGGCTTACCAAAGAGTAGTTTAGCATCCTGAGTGACTTCCCTCCAGGCCCGGTTCTACGGGGGTGCATAAGGGTGCATTGCACCCTCAGTTGAGTCGTTATGCACCCTCATTTGAAAAGTGAAAAGTGAAAAATATTACATATATAATAATAATAATAGTAGTGATAATAATAATAAGAATAATTTAGTTGAAATAAAATAAATGGTAATTGTGGTTAAATAACATTGTCTGCTGCATTTATTTGGTCAATTTAAACGGTAAGTAACGTTATTATGTGAGGTGTGCGTGACCTGTGCCGCTGCGCGTTCGTCATCTGCAAGGTGCTTACACAGCAGTCAATGATGGACATCAGAAAATGGTTAAAACAACCAGCCCTTATCGCCAGCAGTAACACTGCATCTACTGCAGGTAACAACAGTTCAGATCATGGGGACATTATGTTACGTTTGTTCTCACTGTTGTGGACACTAACGTCCTCCTGCCCGACTCGCCGGCTTTGCCCACCTCGCCCACGGAGGGAGAGCAGCTGCAGCCGTCTTCGTTGCCCCAAACACCGCCACTCCTCGGCGCCCCACAAGTCCCAGAGGACCTCGGCAAAACAGAGCCTGCCCAGGTATATTTAAAAAAGTACCCAACTCGCGTGTACAGTGGGGTAAGGCGCTCATTTTGCTGCTCATGGTTTCAAAACAGAGATTGGCTGGAATATTCATGTAAAAAGATGCCTCTTCTGCTATGCATGTAGACATTTCGGTTCAAGTAAGTCAGATGCCTTCACCACAACGGGCTACAACAACTGGCGCCATGCTCTTGTACGTGATAAGGGACTGGGAAGGCATGAATCAAGCAAAGAGCACATCCATAGATCTCTTAATGTTGCTCTCAAAGTGCACCAGATTAATGCTTTTAACTTCAATATTTAAAAAAAAAATCTTCCCGGGGGAGCATGCCCCCGGACCCCCTTAGAGGAGGTGAGGACCCCCCTAGAGGGTGTTAGGTCCACTCCCCACTTATAAAAATAGCACTGCACCCTCTCTAATCTCAGATGCACCCTGAGTCATTTTGTTCTGGAACCGGGCCTGCTTCCCTCCCTCTGTCATGTTGCCTTCATGGATGTAAGGTAGCGCGAGAAATATAACTCAACACTTTCAATACACGACACTCCCGTGATTGGTGGGAAACCAAACTGATACCAGCGTCAAAGTTCCGTTAAGCGAGCTGTTGAGCATCGCAGTTCAGAAAACCTTTATTAGTCCCACAGAGGGGACATGTACGTTGTTACAGCAGAAAAGAGCCACTGACAGCTTAATGTTACATAATGTTACATGCAAAAAGTATTTAAAGTAAAACAAAATGTATATGATAAAAAAAAATATTAAAATAAAAAGTTATACAATTTACAAAATACACATCCTGTAACAGTTCTGAGGATTTAGCAGCCAGGTATATATTGCAGTTGTATAAAGGGTTGGGTGAAGTGTTTTGCCCAAAATACCAAAAATACCTCATCTGCACTTTTCCCCATAAAAATGAATTATAATCAATACTTTTAGATGTAAATGGTTTATTGTGTCATTGGGTCTCTGAAGCAATCAAACTTTGACCACACTGTTATCAGAGTTTTCTCAGACTTTTATCACTCTTTCCCCGCAAAAACGACTTTAAACCATCAGTGTCACTGTTGTGGGGATGTAGGAATGTACCTGTGTCTGGTGCGGAGCCTCCCTGCACTTTAAATCAATTGATTTGCCTTTACTTATCGTATTTCCTACTGTTAATGCACTGTGCTCATGTCGGGTGATGCGCTCCCTGGAGCCCTCCTGTGGGGAGACTTGGAACTGCATTTAAATCACTTTGTGCTTTTTAAGCCATTTAAAATAGTTTTTCTCACTTTTAAAATACTTTCTGCACTAGAAATGATTTTTAATCAGAATTACCATTATTTAGGGGCTGCATGAACATGAATTGGAGCATCCCTGCACACTTCCCTCTTATTTAAAACCATTTTCAGTGAGGTGCTGCAGCGTGATTCTCTCCTTTTTCCTCTGCCCCTATTTAAAACACTTGCTAGAGGTACAATATCTATTTCAGCCCTGATTTTGGCACATCTTATAAATTAGTTAAATGTAGCCTTGTGTTTTTATTTAAGTCGCTGTTCATTGTTTGTTATATAAAGCAGATGTAATGATATCCTATGGAGGCTGATGTGTGGATGTTGTGTCCTTTTGATAACTTTGTTGAGCTTGTTTTTAGCTGCATGTCTTTTTCTATCTCACTGAACAAAGTCCCTGCGTGTGAAGTGCTTCAGCTGATAAGGCTGGTTATGAGTCAGAGGAGGAGCTGCAAACAGGGCGGGAAGTTGAAAGTGAAAGTATGAAGTCAGACTTGGCAGACTGCCAGACGCCATTTTACAGCTCGACACGAGGAGAACAACAGGGTGAGTGTTAACACCACGATCTGCTTTCTAACACATTTATTATTTACTCTGTCAAACTGGATGTCAGAAAATAACTTATTGGTTAACAATCTTCGTCCTAGAGTCCATTGAGACTTCTGCAAGTGTTGTACACTTTTATTATTTCCTGTTTTATGATTCGTCAGAGTTACATTACATGTGAGAGCCCAGCGCAGACAAAATGGAGAACGGCCTGTCTGAAGTCTGACTGATATCATATATTTTAACTGTGTGTGTGTGTGTGTGTGTGTGTGTGTGTGTGTGTGTGTGTGTGTGTGTGTGTGTGTGTGTGTGTGTGTGTGTGGTTACTGGTGTATCTCTCAGACTGGAGAAGATGAGTGATTTAAAAGATGAGGAAGAGGACAAATCTTCAGTCTCCAGCTGTCTGTCTCTGAAGAGTGACCGGTCTATGGGTCTTCGTCCACTCTTCAGTAATGAACCTGGACCCTCAGACACAAAGTAAGAGTTTCTACTGTAAACTGACCTGAAGAGGATTCAGTTTGTTGGTATCTGATCATCTCAAACTGTTTAATGAAACCCAGTAGAGTACATTAACAAAGTTGAATTGATCTCTTGCTTCTTGTCATCATCAGAGATAGTAAATAATCTACCAGTGAAATCATCCTCACACTCTACATGTTGGACTTTGTGTTAAATTAAGCAAATCAGATACAAATATGTAAAACGTTTCACACTCGAATGAATTTTAACAACAGAAACCCACAATCACGACTCAACAACTCTAAACATCTTTAATAAGGTGAACAGCAGTGGCGGTTCTAGACCAATTTGACTGGGGGGGCCACTGGGGGGCCAGTTATTTTCTGAGGGGGGGCACAATAAATGCAGGACGAAAAAGAGAACTAGACAGTATGAAGTAATTGCGCATAAGAAAACAATGCAATACAGTTATTGGTATTTGTTTCAGTACACTTATTTATTTCAGATAGATCTTATAGTTATTACTGTTAGCTTCAGCTTAAGTTATAGTGCAATGTTTGCACTAACACCATATTTATATAAAAATAAAGGCAATGAACAGTTACATCTCTACTTTACATAAGGGTGTCTGCACAATCTCACATTACAGCAACAAAATCCTGAGTACCAGAAAATATACATTTAAAAAAAACAACTTTTCATTGTTAGGGGGGACACAGGGGGGTCAGAGGTCAGTGTTAGGGGGCACTGTTTAAATGTTTAAACATGTTTAAACTGTGTGTGTGTGTGTGTGTGGCCCCCCCTGCCCCCCCCTAGAACCGCCCCTGTTGAACAGTCATAGATCAAAAGCTGCTCTTTAAATAAACTAATGATGTTTAAACTTGTGTTGTTTCCACAGACAGAGAGCAGAGTCTACGGTCTCCATGTGGTCTCTGAAGAGTGACCGGTCTAAAGACTGGACTCCAGACTTCAGTAATGAACCTGGACCCTCAGACACAAAGTAAGAGTTTCTACTGTAACCTGACCTGAAGAGGATCCAGTTTTGATGTAATCTAATATATGTAACTGTTCTTTAATGAAAATCATGTGAGCAGTTTGTAAAGGAAACACGCAGCAGAGTAAGCTAACGTTATCTAAGGATATTTTAATATGCAATTATATTATCATTGTCTCTGTGTATAACATGGTTTTAAATAGCAACAATGTTGACAAATACTGATTTAAAAACTATATATATTGTCCAAAACATTATTTATCTACTTGGGCATATCTATGATATGTCTTTTTAAGATGTTTTATTAATAATAGTGATAACCTGGTGAGCTGGTTGTGTTTAGCATTAGCAGGTGAAACAGAGTTTTGTAAAATCACATGTAGAGTCAATGAAAAGACCCAGATCTGTGCCTGGCAACACGAAGGAAGTGAAGATGTTAAATTCATGTCACCTGCG